GGGGTTCTGGGATTAGGACTGCCGCTAACGACTATTTTTCTATGGATTAATCTCATGACTATATTACCGATTATTCGATTAATCTAAATGATTAATTTTCCTCCAGAAAGTTAAATAGTTTAATTTTATTTTGACGACAACAAACTGAATGTTATTGCAGGGCTTTAGATAAGGGACGCCAGCTTTTTGGTACAATACAGACATTTTTTTCGCCCACAATTCAATAAGCAAATTAGAAGTATGCCTAAAATATTAATGAGATGCGTATTGTGACACTGCATAAATTCAGCGTATCCTTATACTTATTAAATTTGGTTAGCGGAGTACATCACATGCTGCTTTTTTGGTAAATCATGGAAGCGATAAGCACTGAAGTGGCGGTGAAGAAAGGGATCAGCGACCAAAACCTCTTTTAAAAGAGAGGATATTGTGGATGAAGAAGGTAAAAAGATGTCGGTGGTGTGGCAGTACATTTAGCTAATTAAAGTCCAACTTTTTTTTTGTAAATATAGTTTTCGTTTTTATTTCAGTTCACAAATTATTTTCTTTTATTTAGTGTCTGTTTTTGTTTCAGTTTCACAATAACATCATTGGTCCCAACAAGCCTAATGAGCAAGAACACACACTGGCACCATCAGTCCATGTAGAATAAGCCCAGATTTTAACCTAAACATTTTCTCAAACACTTATTCAATGGAGATTCTAAGATAGCAGGCAGACAACGTTCTGGCTTTAATAATGAGTGTATGTAGCAGATGCAAGGACAAAAGCTCTCCAATTTAATAATTGAATAATTTAATTTAATAAACATGAATAGACAACATGGTGGTTTTGCTAATTCTGGCGTTCCATCATCCAGAATAGCACCTGTGTGTTTTCTCTTCTGGTACTCGTGCATAGTGCTGGTGCCCATGCAGTATGCCATCGAATTTTGCACAGTGTAAAACCACCTTTTTGTTTTGTGAATATATGAACTAGTCCCATAATTATGTAGTTATATTAAAGGAAAACATTTGTTATAGTGTATTGAAGCATTTTCGAAATCATAATGGTAAAATTTCATTAAAATAATAAAAACATAACGATGCGTCGATTTAAAATATGCGTCGACTAATCACAGCAGCCCTACCTGGGATCGTGCTGGGCTGTCAGTGTCCAGCTGGAGATGGAAAGATGGCTTGACTTGTGTTTGCTACCATTTGATACAGAATTCACCAGCAGCATGTAAGTTTACGACTGCAGTATTGCATTGCCACGTGTGTTTGCATGCATAGGCATGCGATCGACATGCTTTTATGGCTGTAGAAATGTGGAAAGGTGCCACATTCTCCTGATTATATTGCTGATGTGTTCTAATGATGTCATGCATACTTCATGGCCTTCAAAGCACTCAAAGTCTTTCCTGCATGACAAGAAAAAGGAGCTTTTAAAATGTGACCCTTTATATTGGATCCTCCTCCTGTCCAGGCCAAAGCCCCAGATTATCATCATCTAATGATTTGTGTTTTACAAAACCAGCACTGGAAATTTCCTTTTCGGTGTTGAGGTGTGGAAATAAACCTTGCACTCTCATAGATTTTAACATCTTTGAACAGATTTGAGCAGACAGCTCTTGTGAATGAGAACAGGGTTTCCGCGGGTCTTAAAAAAGTCTTAAAAAGTCTTAAATCACTTTTCCGTGAATTAAGGCCTTGAAAAGGTCTTAAATCAGACCAGCAAGTCTTAAATTCATATGATTATGGCATTAATTTTTGTGAGGGATTGTTTCCTCGTGTGTTTTGATTTTAAAGAGAAGCGAAAGCGTAATTTCTGTGCTACATGGCTTAGATCGCTCAATATTCATTGAACGGTAGATGGCGTTATGTGCTGCTTCATCTGTCAGTAACCCGAAGAAGAACTTGACAAGCATGCGCAGATGAACCCTTTCTTCTAAAGCGCGCTATTTAGACCTGTAGTGCGATTGGAAGGCCGAAGAATACGTATATTCTTATGATTCTTATGATTATAATATAATATCATAATTCTTATGATCATAATATATTCGTATGAATTTCCCTACAATATTTTTTTTTTCCTTAAATTTTCTTTATTTGGTCTTAAAAAGGTCTTAAAAAATTTACTCTGAGAAAACCTGCAGAAACCCTGGAGAATGAAATTATGAAATTTTTATGAAATTAACATTGAAATTAAAGTTAGGCGTCATTAATCAAAACAGTTGAATGGCAAAACACAGCTGTTGTAACACAGGTGCCTGGAGGCAGTGTCTGACATCCCCCATGTTGTCTGTCTGTCTCTGTAAAATGGAGCAAGCTCATGTAAATATGGCCTTTCAAGATTAGTGTTTCCTTGGATGAACTGACAGCTCTTTCTGCAGGTCTGTCCTGTTAGTGTATGAAATGTAGTTTACCTATGGTTGCTAGAACTATCTTGACTTTAGAGGGTAAGATTGGGGCTCCCAACCTGTCGGCAGATCAATTGGCGATTTTCATAAGTTTGACCACTGGTGTTTTTCCCTGACACAAACAAAACAGCGTTGTGAGGCCCAGTGGAATGCTGGCTGTGCGATGGTACTGGTCTGTGGACCAGGGGTTGGGAACCATTAGGTTAAGACAGTGGTGGTTGCAATTCTTACAGTTCCCATTTAGGGCTCTTTCCCATTGACTTCCAGTCGAGTACCAGTACCAAAAGTTTCAGTACCTAAAGTACCAGAACAGCTGGGATACTACTTTGGTACTCTGGGGCTTTTTATTACAAACATGTTGATTGTTGATTGGTTATGTAAATAGCCTGCTTCTAAACACAATACAACAGCCATCTAGAAAAAAGCTGCAAGTAAATGGCATGTAAAAAAAATATAAATATAATAATAATAATAATAATGGATGTGTGGATAAATGAAGCTCCAGGCTTAAACTGCAGTCTGGTCAGAAGAACAGATATAATATCAGGGTGGCATGACAAGAAGTATTTTGTATAAAATACTAGGACAGCACTCTGGAAACTATCACAGTGTGATTTTGTTGTAATAAACACTGGGGTATTTATAAAGCAAAAAAAAAAAATGAATTCAACAAATTACAAATCCATCTAGGAGTGATTTAAACAGCAAGGATGAAAATGATTATGATTGTCTCAATGCATGCAGTGCTCATGCAAAAGCAGTGGAGGTAAACTTTAAACTGATTTTTAAATATGTACTAGATAATCTTTAAAAGGAATAATCATTAAAATTGCAAAACTTGCTAAGTTATTTTTGTCCTATGATAGAGTAACAATGTTTTAGCGAAGCTTAAACTCCCTGCACTATAATGTCTGTAGAGTATGAAGCTAAGAAAAAGCCTGATCTTGACTAGTGATGTAAGAATTGCATGTGCATGACGTGCGATGTTGGCATTAACATCACATTGTCCGGCCCTATAATATTCTACAGCCATTTTTTTTTATTCAGTAGTCTACAAAACAGCCGGTACCAGTTATTATGGTAGTGGAAAACTGATGCCTTGAAGTACCGTATTGTTGGTTACTTTGGACTCACAGCTGGCTCTGTGCGCAGGACGTGTTGCGGATGCGGTCCCGCAGTGTCTCGCGGAGGTCAGCGCCAGTGGAGAGCAACCTGGAGGGGCCCCTGTCCAGGATGAGGAGCCGCAGTGCCCACAGAGAGAGGGGCCGACACACCTGGGTAGGCTTCCAGCTGCCTTCAGAGTCTTAACCATCGCCTCTCTGTGTTCCCCCCCCCCACCCCATCCAGGCCACTTGCTTTGCTATGCAGTGGCTGCTCTTTCTCACCAATGGTCCTGTGTCAGCTGCATCAGTCTCCTGTTGCCACCAGAGGGCAGTATGATGCAACAACTGTGACTTGTCAGAAAGCTTTTTCCACATGGCCTGTGTTGTGTGCGTGTGTTTCTTGGGAGAACACCACACTGGAACCCCTAGCTCCTGTTTAGAGATAAACACATATACTAAGGAACAGAGTCATCTTTTCAGACTGTGGTGTGTGTGTGCACGTGCGTGCGTGCGGGTTTACCTATCCTTTTGGGGACACAATGTCCCCATAACGTGATAAATATTCGTTTTTTTCTCTTATGAAGACCGGTTTCCTGGTCCCAATAAGGGAAAACTCTATTTCATAAAAATCAGTGACTGCTATGAAAAAACTAAAAATGCAAAAACTCTTGTATTTTGTTAGGTTACTTATGGTTATGGTTAGGGCAGGGTAGGGGTTAAGATAGTTATCGTTACCATTTTTCCCATTGAAATGATTGAGCTCTCCCCATAAGGATATGTTTACCCTACATGTGTGTGCGTGTGTTGTGCGTGTGTGTGTGTGTGCTTGCATGTGGTGGCTGAGTAATAAAACAGGCATGGCCTCCCTCCTCTCCTCCTCCTCTGCTGGCTTTACGCTCAGATGCTCTGCAGCTGGACAGGATGGAGGGAGAGAGACATCTAGCCAGCGGAGGAATATTCCGATCTGCCAGGGTGGAGGGAGGTTAAGTAAACACACTGGCTGCTGGATTGGCAAGATGCAGATCTGGATGGCGTTCGTGGGTCAGCTCTGGGATTTGAAACACGTACATACACACACACACGCACATACACACACACACGCACATACACACACACGCACGCACAGATGCACACACATGCACGCACACACACAGACACCACATACAAACATGCCCCCCCCCACTGTGTGTAACAGAGCCCCCGCAGGAAGCTCAGTGTCACTGCACAGTGCTGTTGCTCTTCTGGGTTCTCTGAACTCCACGTGACCCCTGGGCCCCTTGGGCTTGCCGATACGGAGCCCTGGCCAGTGGCACGGATGCCAGCCCTGGAGTCAGCACCCCTGCGGAGGAGCACCCTGCCTACCCACTTCATGCTAATGGGGTTTTCCAGTAATGGAGACCTGCCAAGGCAGCTCTGAATGGCTGCCAGGCTGTGGGCTTCCTGCATTACTGCTGCGCGTGACTCTCTCTGCTGCCCTCTGCTGGCCATGTTCAGATATAATGGACTCTGCATTTTATTTATTGTCCAGCTAGAAGGAAGTTTGTATGCTGAGTGGTTTAAGTGCATCACAGGCATAATGGCAGTTACTTCCTGCCTCATATTTCCTCACTGTCCAATCTGCATGAGTCCTGTCCGATCTGTGAGCGATTGAGCTTAGGGGATGTTGTCGTTGTTTGGTATAATTGTCATGTCTCCTATTGGATTTCTGTAACTCATGATTCTCATACCAGGTCATTAATGATTATTTTGTCCAATATCAGCTGCTCTCTGGCTGTCTGTGTGTGTGTGTGTGTGTGTGTGTGTGGTCATGAGTTTGCCTGTGTGTGTCTGTGGTCTCTGAAAGGAAGTACGCGCCTCTTGAATTATACATCCTTCCCTTGCACCACTGTATTTTTGCTCGCTCTCTCTCTCTCTCTCTCTCTCTGTCTCTCACTCTGAGTTGGAACAGCCTGCTGTTCGCTGCCCCTCTGGTGTCGGTGTCTGAGCGTGTGTGTTCCCTAGAGTGCTGCGTGCGGGCAGGGTCGACGGGGCGTGCAGAGGCAGGAATAGCAGGCGCAGGGCACAGAGCGTCAGCGGGATGGCATACTATGCGTGCCCGGCCTGCCTGTGGCCCCTACAGTGGCTGTGGGTGAGTGAGCGAGCGAGCGAGGGAGAGCCACTGAATGGCAGGCAAGCCCCTGATGGTGGACCAGAGGGCTCCCCGGGGAGGGGGGGGGGTTCTATTTAAAAATGAGTTTTTATGCTGGCTTTTGTGAGCCCGGTCTCCTTCACACCTCCAGAGGGGGATGCCAGTAGGGGGTACTTGCTTTGTGTACAGTGTTTTCGTGATGCTGGGATGCTGTGAGTTGGGTCTATGATGCCGGGAAGTGCTTTTGGTCCTCAGGGTGGTGAGTGAGATCGGGTGGGGTGGGGTGCAGCACACGGGCAGCCGGCGAAACCTTTCCTGGGTCCTCCTGCTGCTGTGGAGAGCGCTGGCTTGTACGGCTCCAGGCAGTGGGTTCGGTTCTTGCAGGTGTGGAAATATCTGCTGTGATCTTTCATCGCTGGCGATCTGGAGATAAACGTGTTACAATAGCTTGGGCTCTGCAGGTGCGAGGCGCCCTATAAGGGGAAGCTGCTCTCGCTTTGGCTCTGTGCTCTGCCTGCGTGTCTGACGTGCCCGCAAACGTCCTCTCAGCTTAACTCGGAAGGTCTTCTGTTCCCTGGACGTTCATGGTGTTTGTGGGGCACTGTTTGGGTGAGGGGGGGGGGATGCACTGGCCAGGTTGAGTGGGGCCCATTTAGCTTAGTACTCACAGTTCTACATTAAATTTGTTAATACATTTAACACAAACTGATAATATTCTGTTAGTCTACAATGAGTAAAACAAACTGAAACTGGGCCTAATGGATGTCGCATGAATTTATAGAATTTGCAGCTTACCTTGAATGGGAATTAATGGCAGTAAGCATGACCATCTAGATAAGCCCAGACACTCGCTGGAAGTTGCACTTGAACAGCTGACATTCTGCCTGTGAAGTCGATGTGACTTTCCAGCTTACGGGGATGATGAGCACACTCTTACTTCACATGCAGTGCTTGTGAAATGTCATGCTATAATAGCTGTGTTCTTTTTAAAAAAAAAAAAAAAAACAACTGTCGATGTCTCTCTGTCTCTCTTCCTTTCACTGTGGGCAGTGGTGGCTTGACGGTTAAGGAAGCGCACTTGTAATTTAAAGATTGCTGGTTCAAATCCCCGACCAGCAAAGTACCACTGAGGTACCCTGAGCAAGGTACCGCCCCCAAGCACTGCTCCCCGGGCACTGAATTAGCTGCCCCCTGCTATGTCACGATGTCACATATGGGTTAAATGCAGAGGACACATTTCGTTGTCGTGCACTGTGTGCTGTGGTGTGTCAACAATGACCACTGATCACTAAATTCTGTCCCCCTATTTTTCGGGATGCATCTCACGTTGGTGTACACTGCTAACGATGCACACGATCACTGTACTTACAAATCAGTAATGTTTCATTTTCACTTTTGTTGCAACATCAGACAGTGGTGGGGGCTGCAGATGTCCTTCGGGGGGGTTTCACGAGCGGTTGTGAGGCTGATCATTGTGGCCTGTACGTCCGAGGGGGGTGGGGCTGCCCCTTCCCACCCGGATGCCCCTAATGGCTCTTCCCTGGTTTCCCCGGTGGTACTGCAGCCTCGTAATATGTGCCCCTCTGCGTGAGCGCCCCCTGTCTGTGGCAGCTGGCAGAGGTTTTCCTGTCGATAGTAAGCGTGTAGCGGTGTGGCAGTGCGGCTCGGCTGAAATAACATCTCCTGCTGTCTGGGGTTGCTGGTAAATCCTGGAGTTGAAGCTTTGTCGCATCAGTGGGGGGGTGTGGGTGCTGTGGTGCACCCCAGGCTCTTACCTTACACCCCCCCGCGCTCTTCCTGAGTTCAGCTTTCCCCCCACGTCTCTGTGCTCCATTTCACTGTGACGCGTTACCCAGCTGGACCAGGACCCCAGTGTTAGTGGGACGCGGCAGCAGTGAGTGAACGGGAGGATGCTGCATCCTGTCGGAGGCGATGGCTTTTTGGTGTGAAGCATTTTAAAGGGGAGCTTCCTCCTCCATTTCTCAGCATCTTTCATAAATGTCAGCATTACATAAATGTTCTCTTTTCTTCTCCTTGCTCCCTCCCTTTCTATGTCTCTCTCACCCTCTTTCTCCTTCCCTCCCTTTTGCGCTCCCGCCCTCTCCCCTGCCTCTCTCTCTCCCTCCCCCCTTACACACACTCTCTCTCTCTTTCTCTCCCCCCATCCCTTCTGACTTAGAAACCCATGTCGCAGCCCCCCCCCCCCCCCCCCCCCAAAACCTACAGCGATGTTTGGAAACGGGCAGGGAGAGAGAGGCAGCCCCAATATAAACCACCACCCCAGTTATCCCAAGGAAACCCATATCGCTGTCCCTTCACACGCGTGCGCACACAGACACACACACACACAAGCCTAAGCCCCGTGGAACTCACAACAGAGCAGCACAGCGCTGACGCAGTAGCAGTGGACCTGCCTGCTCCGGCAGCAGTGTGCCAGAGACGCTCACCCTGCTGAGGCTGCATCTCCTCCTGCCTTCATCCCTCGCTTGCCCACTTGCCTGGATCCCTCGTCCCGCTTTCTGTTTTTTGATCGGGCTTCTTCTGCACGGATCTGAGCTTGGCGTGTTGATCTGTGCCGCGGGGAACCCTAAAAAAGGACGACCTAGGAGCTTCTCTTCAGGGTGGCAGGGAGCTGCTGCTGGCCTCCTGGGAGGAGCCCGTGTGCCGAGTCGCTGCTGAGTCCGTTGGGTCGGAGGATCGGTTCTGCAGAGTGCGTCAGTCACACGTGCCCTGGGACACGCATGTGCTCCCGTCTGTGTGCTCTGGGGGTCAGACGTGGCTGATCTGGCTACAGCTGCATGTTAAACCTGATTCCCTGACTGAGCGTGCATTTCGGCCACGTTCTGGAGCGTGTGCACAGAAAGAGGACACCGCTGGCCGGGTCAGGGACCGTAAACTGTTAGGGCCACTCTGACTGCTGAGGCCTTGCTCAGGCCGTGACCGCGACTCCGTCACGCTCTGTCTGCGGAGACCAGGCCCCGAACCCTGGGCAACAGGACAGCGGGCACCTGCCACTCTGCACACTCTCATGGACTGTGGGCTCGCCCGGCTTCCTGAGCACCACATTCTGGGCTTCACGGTGCTGCTGAACTGGATCTGTGGACCTGTAGCGCAGCCCCTCCCCCGGCGAAAACCCACCCCCCCAGCCTGACCATGGAGTACCTCGGGGATAAGCTGTCGGTGGCTCACATGCAGGTGTCCGGCTGGGTGGGCAGCGTGCGGCGCTCCCTGCAGGGGGCGCTGGGCCTGGCAGCAGATGGCAGCGGGTTCAAGAGGGCCGCTTCGCTGCGGGGCTTGGCCTCTCGGAGTAGGGAGTCCTTCCGCCGCTTTTCACTCCGCAGCCAGCAGCGGCTCTCCTTACGGAAGCGCTCCATCGACCCAGCTGAGGACCCCGGTTCACTGTCCCCTGTAAGACCCTCGAATGCCTGCATTCCATAACCTGCTTTGGTCACCTTCTAATCAGCCGTCCCGGCATGTGCCTTGACCTCCGGCGGCGCAGCACTGCACAGCTCCGTGCTCGTCATGATTTTCAGGGCTCTGACATCAGCGCGGGATTCTGCAGATACACCTTGCAGGCAGAGCTCGTGGATCACGGGACTGAGGCCGTGTGACACTGGGCTTCTGTTAGAGGTGTCCTCGTGTGTCTCAGAGTCTGGGAGGAACCCTCATGTGCTCCTTGGCTTCTGCGTGACGCATTGAACCTGCAGGGGATCCTGTACCACATACACACACACACACACACACACACACACACACACACAGAAACGCAAACACACCTCAGCTGAGGTCACTGCGTAAAGTGGGTCCGGACTAATTTCAGTGCAGCCAACGTATCGACTGTGAGTTTGCTGTTCTCTCTGTAGTAGGTCTAAATCTTCAGGGAGGGGGTCAGATGGATGCTCGGGCCATGTGAGAAGGGCTGTCACCATGGATACCACCTTCCACATGCAGCTTGCTGGGGTGTTCGCTTTTGCCGAGGGGCATCTGTGCCTGTTCCAGTTCTGGTGCTGCATTCAATCTTCAGGATGGTTTATCTGTCTTTTTTAACTGTAAAATACACCAAGCAGAGTTTTTTTTGGGAAGGTGAAAGGGCGGGGGGTGTCTAGATGGGTTACACCTGGATGCATGGTGACCGAGTACTGCGAGTATTGTTGTAGTGCTGGAATGGAGGGTGACTGTGTACAGGGAGTACTACTGCAGAGGAGGAATGGAGGGTGACTGTGTACAGGGAGTACCACTGCAGAGGAGGAATTGAAGTTGACTCCATATGGAGAATTCTACTGTAGGAGAGGAATTGAGCTTGACTGTATGGTGAGTACTACGGCAGAGGAGGAAGAGAGGGTGACCAAGGACAGAGAACCCTGCTGTAGGAGAGGAATGGAGGGTGACAGTACAGGGAGTACTTCAGAGGAGGAAGGGAGGGTGACCGAGGACAGAGAACTCTGCTGCAGGGGAAGAATGGAGAAATTGTTTTGCTCCGGTCCCCAGTGAAGAAACGGGTCCTAAGAGAGCCTCCAGCAGCGACTGTGTGTGTGATACAGGACGTGGACGCACAGAAGTGTCAGCGCAGCTGGGCATTGTGTCACCCCCACCAGCGTGTCTACCGTGGCCGAGGGGTGAGGCTGAGGTTGACCGTGCTCAGGTCGGCCTGCTGCTGTCTGGCTACTCATGAGGCCCCGCTAGCTTATGGAGATGCTGCATGTGGGTGTGGTTTGTTTGTTTATCCGCATCTGGCATGTTCCTGCATCAGGACAGATTGTTCTGTGCTCCTCCTGCCCGCCTGTCTTTTCCTGGGATGGCGGAGTGATGTCACTGTTGCATCCCTGAGAAAAGCCTTTATCACCTAATTTGCTCCAAGGACTAACTGGCCCTGCTCTCAATACGCTTACAGAACCATAAGAACAGGAGCTCCTGTGCAGTGCTGCCTTTCTGCCTTTGCAGGTAGATGGCCCTGCAGCAATGCAGTACTCGGGCACTTTTTGGGTTTGGGGGAGGGGCAGTAGCCCCCACTGCAATGCTGGGCTCCTGTTTCATGCATAGTGCAGCCCCAAGTGTGGTTCTGAACACCTTTAACTGCCTGTAGTCACTGGTGTTGTCCCACGTTCCTTAAAATGTCCCGTCTCCCTGGAGAGCGAGCTGGTATTATGATCTGTTGTTCCTGTGTGAGCAGGCAGTGGGGCACCAGCGAGGCTGAGCTGCTGCTCCTGTTGTTCTTGCCCCTCCTGCACAGTCGCTGCAGGGTGGGGCACCGGCCATCATAGCTGGGCTTCTGAACTGACACTGCTTTTGTTTTTCCTTTGAGGTGGGGGTTCTTGTCACCAAGGCCCCTGGCTTCCTGCAGGCCTTGCGCACCTTCTGCAGGCCGCAATCGCACTCCTGTGTCATGGGAGGAACCTCTGCATGTGTTTCAGCATACTGGCTCCTTCAGATTTTCCTTCCATGTCCTGCTGGGAAGAAATGGTACCATTAACAGCCTCCTGCTCTGTTAAAAGCAGCCACGTGCCAAGAAGTCCGTCACACGGGAAAGTTGCTCTCGGCATAAACCCTGTTGCATTGCCTGTTCCCTTCCCACCCAGGTATTGTTCTATGACTGAGACTGAGACCTCAACAGAGGAAATGAAACCTTTAAATATCACAACTGCTACAACCTCAATGATGGTATTATGCAAAGTTTCCTCTTTGCAGGAACGTTTGGTTACCTCTGTGTGTGTGTGTGTGTGTGTGTGTGTGTGTGTGTGTGTGTGAGTGTAGGTATGTGAGAGAGAGATCAGGGACACCTTAAGTAGGAACCCCCAACCCCGTTTTTCAAAATGGGTTCATGCAATGCACAGTTCTAAAGGGATTCTCTGTTTGCACTGGTACAGGTACATTGTCATGCTGCTTTGCTTGTGTCCCATTTTGCTCTCCATGAGACACACATACAGTCGAGAGCGAAGCTTGGGGTCTGAGCACAAGGTCAGACTGGCTATCAGGCACACTGAGGGCCTTGGTCAAGGGCCCAGCCAAGATGTGACTATCCACTTAAGGCCAAGTCTCGAACCGATGACCTTATGAACACAGGCACAGATGCTCGAGCCTCTGAGCCACACATCGTTTCTTGTCAGCTTCCAAATTAACCTGAACAAGCCAAGGTGGCCAGCAAACGCCACAGTGGCATTACTCCGTATATTTTACTCCTGCCATTTTGCTTCCCGTAATGCCCCTTGTCGGCTCACCCCCTGCAATACTTCATTTTGTCTCTGCAGGAGCAGCTGAAGAGGTGCACAAGCGGCGAGGAGGAGGGCAGAGACACCACCACACTGGTCCGTGAGGCGGACAGCCAGTACGGCACCTGGGAGACAGGCCTGCACACAGAGGACAGGTAGGTCGGCCTGCACTCTAGGCTCCAGGTACAGGGTAGGGTACGCGGGGTCGGGTACAGGGTAGTGTACGCGGGGTCGGGTACAGGGTAGGGTACACGGGGTCGGGTACAGGGTAGGGTACTTGGCTTTGGGTAGAGCCGCTCTAAAGTGAAAGGGGCCGGTGAGCCCTGCACACGTCAGGGTGGGGATCTGTCCTAATCTCATGTGCTCCTGTTTGGGCTCTCTGTGCCAGAACTCAGTCTCTCTGCTTCGCTTTGCTAGGGGGCATGCTAGTGACCACGCTCCGGCATCACACAAAACATCTCCTGCTGCAGTTCCACTGCTAGTCTGCTGCCCCCTAGTGTTCCTTGTGTCATACCTTCAGCCGCTGGCTTAGAAGCTTACCTGTTAAAGGCTGAAAGACTGCAGGCATATGTGAATGTGTGCTGGCACACCGACACAGCACTGAATAAAAAATGCTTTTGCTCTTCAACCAGTTCCGCTTGTAGCGCTTCCCTGGTGAATTGTATTTTAAACCTTTGTCAGCCTCATTAGTTTGACTATTTAGGAACTAAAATAGAAGGGGAACAGACTCTCAGATGGACCCTGCCTCGGCCAGGCTTGGGGGGTTGCCGTTTTTAACTTTTCTGGGCAGGACGGGGCGGTCTCTCGGATGACCTGCTTGGACGGCATGCGGGTAATCGCAGCACCGCAGTGCGACGGGACAGGCAGGACGCAGCCATCCCTCTGGAATTAATGCCTGCCTCTCTCACCTGGGCCTCAGTTGCGTGTTTGGTCACATGATCATGGCACGGTTTCCTGTGACCATATCAGTTTCGCAGATTGTCATGCCCAGTGTCACGCTCCGCACTGTCCTTGTGCGGCGGTGTTTGTTTATGCAGGGGCTCGGCCCTCATGACATGTAGCTCCAGTGGGCCGTGCATTAAATGACACTCATGCGCTTAACGCCAAACACGACCTCCTGCGCCTGGAATTCAGTGAGTTGTCTGCTGCCCGCTGCTTTGCCGTTATTAACTGTCTGGCGGTCTCACCCCCCATCCCCGCAGCCTGACTCCCGCCACCCCCACCTCGGAAAGCACTGTCAGCCCGCCCCCCTGGAAGCCCACCCCACCACACACGCCCAGTGAACTCAATGCAACCGCTGCAGCGATAGTGTCCCCCCAGGGGGAGGCGGAGCCTCTGTCCTTCCCAGAGGTCAGTCACCCCCTCGTCCCATAATTCCAGGCTCCCCCTTTGGTGGTCAGTGTGTTTGTTCAGATCATTTGCTCACCATTGCTGTGTTTGTGTGCACGTGTACGTGTCGAGCAGACCTCCACCACTCTGCTGGACTCCAGCGCCCTGCGCTCGCGGGTGCAGCTGAGCAAACGGCGCATTCGGCGCACCCTCCCGTCACGTGCAGCCCGCCACAGCGCCACGCTATCCATGCTCCAGGAGGGCACCGCAGACCTCAGCCGAGACTGGATGTACCGCGACTCGACAGGTGAGGGTGCCTGCCGCCAGTAATAGGGTGTCTTAGGGTCCCCGCCTGACTGACATGTTAGTGCCTGTCAGCCCATGGAGGAGCAGCCAGGAGAGCCAACATGAGGATGATGATGACACATTTATTGTCATGTAACCTCTACAGTCGTGTTTCGTGGTCATAAGTGTCCTTCATCTCCCCCCAGAGGAAAAGGCAGAACAGTCCAAGCAAGCAGATTCTGACTCGGAGGAGCCGCTCCGGCCATCAGTGCCCTGCACGCCCAGCTCCCAGCTCCAGAGAGCGGCCCTTTTCCCTGGCATGGACCCCTCTGCTCTCAAAGTGCGGCGCCGTACCGCTGAAACGCTTTATTCTATAGTCCCAGTGATAGTCTGCCATACTTTGGTTTTGGCTTTAGCATTTCTGATCTGTGCTGCTAATCAGCTCTTGAGATGTATGGTATACATGCAGGAAGCAAGACTGGGCTTTCACTCTCATCACCATACTTCATTAGAATTCGTCTGCTCCTCAATGCCCCCTGCTGGCCTTTGTCTTGCAGGATCAGCTCAAGAAGCGTGGGGACCCTGACAATCAGACCGATGGGCCTACTCCTGCGCCTTCTCAGCTGTCACGTTCCCCCAAATCTCCCTTCCTCCCCCGGGCCTCCAGAGTGCTGCCTCCTGCTGGTGGAAAAGATAACGAGTATGCCTCTAAGATGGATCTTGTCTGACTTATTATCAGGACTAATTCAGTCCTTCTGGTTAAACTGAGTTTGTCCAAATGACACAAAATATAGAATCATTTTTAACGTCTGAGGTTTGTGTGTGTGCTCTGCAGGGAGGAGTCCTCCCCACAGTGGCTGAAGGAGCTGAAGTCTAAGAAGCGCTTTAGTCAGTACGAAAATGAGGCCTAGTCCAAATGGACGGTGAGCTGTCCCCCTCTCCCGGCCGACTCTCTGAGTTCCTTATTCTGTCACTCTGTTTAGGGACACCAAGTTTACTCGTCACTTGTGGTCTCTTCATTTCGATGAATGCAGCCTCATAAATGAGTGAGCAGTTAATCAAAAAATGTTTTCAGTGACTAACTTGCATAAATTGCTCATCCATGGCTTATAGGTATCTCTTCTTACGTTATCAGAGTATGTTGTTAATTTTTTAATTAATTTTCAGGTTGCCTTAAAACTAGAGAATGTGCAGAAGCTACAGAACAGTGACATCAGAAGCCTTAACTTTTGACCTGGATGTGAACAGACCTGTGCTGCTGCTGACGTGACCTCCATGTCCTCCTTTAACTTCCTGTTGGATGTCTGAAATATGTGCATGGTGCCTTTTTTAAAAGATATATTTTTTTGACAAGATAAGTTGGAGTAAACCAGAAACTGCTTTTATTTTTCCATACCGAATCTGCTTGATCCTTTTACTATGGGAAGGATCTCCAAGCCACTTTGCTCTCTCGCTGCGTGGGGGATGGAGGACCAGGCTGAACCACTTCCTGTCTGCGTATGGTTGCAGTTCTGGAAGATCTGCTTGAAGGCCCTGAAGCCACATCCCTGCAAGCGCTTCCTCAAACTGGAACTACATTCCAGAAACATAAAAAAACTTTGTTTTCTATTTTGATTTAAATGTGCACATTTGGTGTATCTTTGTGGGTAAAAGTTGGCATATTCAGTGAATGGTCACACAAAGTTGCCATAGTCTCTTTTATTATGTTATAGAGAAAAAATCAACAACAACCTGGCATTCAGCAAAATGTAATAACTTCTTATTGTCAACTGTTTTGTATTTGTATTTTTTGCTGATTTAAAAGTGTAAATGTTACTCAAATGCAGAAAAAAATGTAGCCAGTGAAATAAGTTTATAATGGAACCATCCATAGCAGTCATTGTAACTGTCGCTGTAGGAATTAGTGATTTTTATCGCTCAGATGCAACCAAGCAAAATTAGCTTTAGTACAAGAAGCAAATGGCTGCCTTGTCATGAACTGATTCCGCTTCTGAAGAGAAATAAAGAGCCTGTACGCTGGGACCCTGGTCAGTTTGTTATTCCTTCAGGAATCTAGCTAAGATGGAGAACGGTGAGCTAAACACAGCTTCTGGACTGGATCTGAGGGTCTTCCATGATACAGACATGAGTAGGTGGGTTGCTTGTGAGGTTTGGACTACACCTGTGCTTGTAGTTGTGTCAAAGGGTATGGGTGAAGTTTAATGTGGTCCATAGTGAGCCGAAGGCTTGACACCTTATGCATCTTGGCTTTGATCATGTGTGTTACCACCCCAGTACAGCAGGTGGCAGTGTGTGTTCTTGCCTGCTCTTTGGATGTAATTTTTGTTTGGCAAAAGTAGTGATGTGGAGGCAATGGCAACATCATTTGAAGATTAAGTGATTATGATCATGTTGCTGCAGTATATACTGTGGAATAATTCAGAAATCACGCTGCGCCACCCTCATAAAGAATATATGTGAAACCTTTTGACACAGTAAACCACATCTGAAGGGAAGCTATGGCAGGAGTTCGGACCACAGAGTTAGGAACTAGTTTACAGTGCCATAAGACTGACATAAGATGTGGCCTTAACCCTTGGTCTGTCGCTGCACTTAGGGTTCATCAGCTAAAAGCGAGCAAATCGTGTCCTTAGTGATTATGCAATAGAGCCTCCTAGTGGCTAGTCTGATAAATGGGCTACACAATATGCACAGATCTGGCTGGCTTACCAGTGGGCCACCCTTTGAACGCACTGCCTGATGTCAAAATGTATATTGTTATTGTCCTTTTTAATAAGCAGAAGTGTGACTGAGAGGCACCAGGGAATGGATGGCAGGAATCAGGCTGCGGGCAGTTGAGAGCATCTAATCATGGTGCATCATTAGCACCAGGGAGTCTGTGTTAGAGCTACAAGTCTCCCAGACTGCTGTGACTCCTGGATGGGAAAAGGCTACACTGTCAGAGACTTATTTGCAAAATAATATGCTGACTGCTACTGGGTGCACTACGAATGATATAAATTATTCTACCATAAAGTTTAGAGAGAGAAATGCTTATATCTGTCCAACAGAAATGTATAGATCGATTGCCTGGGATTAAAACTAACTTCTAATTGTTTTGCTGCCTTGTTAAGTTTTCTTGACCATTGACTTTACTGCTATTGACTTTACTGCTTTCCAAAGATTTGCCAGAAAATAGCCGCAGATCCTCCCCTTTCTGCTCTGAAAATTCCAGCAAGCACTTTGAAGCTGTTGATTGACAACAGAAGTGACCAAGTCCTCTTTCAGTAGCATATCCCGCCTTCCATGTTGCTGATCGTCAGGTGTTGGAATGCTGACAATCTCGCCTTGTCAATGTGTTTTGTTTTCCCTTTGGAGTTTGTGGTCCGTCTCGCATGTATAACTTGTGTGTTTTTACTCCTCAGTGCCATTTTGTCAGTCTGGGGGAAACTTCCTTATCTTGTGATATTACAAAATGTGTCCGTTCCTAAATAAAATTTCCTGTAACTTTGTCTGTTGTAGTGACCTACTTGCCCTCAGCCTTCACTCCTAAACAGAGTTTAAATACAGACGTGGCCCAGTAGAGCCCTGTTCTGCCTCCTTATGTCCAAATTGCACCTTGCCTGAGTGCAGCTCTGCCTTCTTTAACATTAAGTTTTTTTTCTTAATGTCCCAAAATTCAGCAAAAGATTCACAGGCCCAGTATGTGACTTAGATGACTAAGCCTCTTTATCCTGGAAGCTTGCCGGTTTGATTAATGGCCTCAGTAGGTGTGACTTGGGCCACGTCTGGAGGCTTACTCTGCTGCAATAGATGTGACCTGGGGGCTGTGTCAGAAGGTTTGCTCCTCCCCAGAAGGCATGACCCGGGGCCATGTCGGGAGGCTCGCTCTGCTGCAGAGGGTGTGAGGGATTGTGTTGGGAGGCTCGCTCCACCCCAGTCTGTGTGACCCAGGGCCTGGGGCTGTTTTGAGAGGCTCAGTCTGCCACAGTAGGCGTGACCCGGGGCAACAGGGCCATGTTGGGAGGCTCAGTCCGCCGGAGTAGGCGTGACCCGGGGCCATGTTGGGAGGCTCAGTCCGCCGGAGTAGGCGTGACCCGGGGCCATGTTGGGAGGCTCAGTCTGCCGGAGTAGGCGTGACCTGGGGCCCAGGGCCATGTCAGTGGGCTTACTGGCACTTCCGCATTTCTCCTGCTGTCCTGAAAAAGAGGTGATAGATTCCCAGTGGGACCGCCCATAGGCTAGATGGTGAAGCTGACAGCAGCATGACCAAGGTGGCATGGCACAGCATGGCCCCGGAGCAGCTGCTCCTGCTGACCGAGGTCCCCCCCACCTGACCACCTGTCCCATCCTAGGCTTCCCTTCATTTTAGCCTTTTCTGCCTTGAAGACATCATCAGCACAAAGCAAACGCCATATCAGCAGAAACAAATGTTATTGTTAGTGGTCAGACAGGAGTTTGGTCTAGTAGCCATAATCATTCCCTGCTATCCGGGAACAGATGATACGTCTCACACGGAAATGAAATCAAGGCTGTTAAACTGCATTTTGGGCACCTCAGTTCATTCTGTCTATTGTTATATGATTCAGTTCAAAAGGTAATCAGTGCCCATAATTATAAAGCGTCTCAGAGTTGGAAGAAGGTCATAAGTGGCCCAAAAGTCTCAGAATGACGCAATTTCAGTCCTACTTTTAAGAGTAGGGGTGTTTTATTAATTTTCTCATCCTAGGAAAGTTCTCCTAACTCTGGCAGGATTTAGGAGCGCTCAAAAGCGGCAAGGACCGCAAGAAGGTGGCATTCCGACGCAGACAGGCCCACATCTTCTGAAAAAGGAGGAATGTATTGGAAATGCTGGACAACAATGGTCTTCTAAAAGGATATTGGCCCAACAGGGACAGAATTGTAATAGAGTAAAGAAATGTCAGAAAGAATATTAATAATAAAATAATAATATTATTAATAATAATAATCATCATCATCATTATTATTATTATTATTATTATTATACACGCACTCACACATTATTATGGAACACAGTCAGGGAAAAAATTGTGTCCACATACGTCTCCACATGGCATTTTTCCCCTCTAGACATGGTAAAGAACAAGTAACACGATGCATACAACGGAATACTGTTTGGCCTAATATGCACATTGAATGCATATCTTTGGATTGCATATCTGGATTTTGCATCTCCCAGTCGCATGTTAACATGCAGCACATTGCATGCATATCTTTAGACTGGAGTTTGCATCTCCCAGTCGCATGTTAACATGCAGCACATTGCATGCATATCTTTAGACTGGAGTTTGCATCTCCCAGTCGCATGTTAACATGCAGCACATTGCATGCATATCTTTAGACTGGAGTTTGCATCTCCCAGTCGCATGTTAACATACGGCACATTCCATGAATATCTTTAGACTGGAGTTTGCGTCTTCAGATTTTGTCTTAAGGGTAATTACTTTACTGTAGATCACAGTTAATTAAATTGCTTTGCACTTGAATAATGGATCATTATTGGATGAAACACTTTAGCTATCATGCTGCTGGGTATCCGCGCTGTTAATCTAGTGCTTCAGCACATTGTGTCACCCTTCCTGTGGCTGTAGCTATGCCACCTCCACGGCCTCCCTTCCAGGACCACGCCAAGCACTCAGCCCCCGTGTCCGGGTCACTAGGCGGTTTTCCATCTCAGATGTTGCTCCTTCAGCCCCTCCCCAAGTCCTGGCACCGTCAGTCCCTCTCTAGAAGAAGTCAGCCAGGATACTGTCGTGGAGGACAATGTACCCAGCGCTAAATGGAATGTGAGTTAAACCAATCATATGGCAGCACCCAAATAAATCCCACCCACTCTTGGATTCAAAGCCTCTCTTCTTCCAGGAACAGCTGATTCATTTTGTTTGCTCACTATGTCTCCCACAACCCTTAACAGGATAAGCTTTTACAGAAACTGGATGGATGGAGGAATGGATGAACTATGATGTCTATCAGTTTTAATTTCACTTCCATTGTTTTCACTTCCTCCATCTCTGTAGATTTATCTCTTCATTACTTCCATTCATTTAGCTCCCTGTTTATCCCTGTCCCATAGCTAAAGCCCCCTGTCCTGCCTACTGTCCCCTCCCTGCTGTCCCCTGCCTGCGGCCTCCTGTCGTTTGTAAATTTCTTATGTTCTTATGAATCCTTGGGGGGTTTCCACTAAGCAAAATGTGCTGTATGTTTGACACTGTCCCATCTACACAATGGCATTGAAACAGAGCGGCCCTTAAATATCAATGTAAACTGTATATTGCATAAGCTGCAAGTCTTTTTAAATCACATGGCTTACGCTGCCATGCTGCTAAATGTTCTCGTTATCTCAAGATAATGTCATTAAAATAATTGCAAGCATGGCCATTCTCTGAGAGAGGGTACAGTTGTATTTCTGAAAAATACAGTATCATTGTGGTAGCCCATAATACAGTTAGTTTCATAACATTGAACATTAGGTAATCCATGTACAGCTGTACAATGCCGTCATACAATTATTACTCAGCAGTTACACAAATTAAGCTTTATGGTTTTGGGGGACATCTCCTATAAGCTACAACCAACGATTGCCGAAGCAGTCGATGTAAACACTGCGCGTCAGGATTTGCGACACCGGAAGCAGGAAGTGCGTGTAGTCGAAGCATGGCGGCGCGCGCCCTATAGCTCGCACGAGAGTTTTCCATGTTCACCTCTGAGCTTCGCACCTTCTGCTGAAGTCTATTTCTGCGTTTTAAAAGCATTTCACTTGCTCAGGTAATACTACTGTATTATACTTTAAAATGAACTCTTTAAAAATCGCCAGTACACTAAGTCGCGTTAAGTTAGTAGCTCCGTGCCTGTTACAGGAAAGGATTCCTTTTCGATGTATTATATGCTGAATAACTGCGTGTCATATCTTTTTTTCCTGACTAACCCACTGTAATATGTTCTTTTACTATATTTACAATAAGTATATTTGTGTTTGTACCAAAACAATTAATGGTATGTTCTGATAGGAAGCAAATATGTAGAATATTAGGACTTTGTCTAGTCATTTATGTAAAAGGTTGTTTTCGTGTATAGTTCTGGGAATGTTTTTAAATTAAGTATCTTATCCAGTCCTCAAGGTAAGTATGCATATAATGCCATGCATTTCAGTACTTAGTATCGCAGTATCGCAGGTGCCAAAATCCGGGGATGGAGTATTTGTGAATGTCACTGTCTATTACGACGCATTAAACACTTTTTACTTTTGAACAATGTTTTACTTATTTAATAGCCAGGTGGGCTTGCTCCTAAAATTAAATATGTTGTTGGTTGCTGTTGGACAGCTAAATAGTTTGTGGAAAATATTGCAAATCACTCTGCTTAAAAAGCAGGAGAGAAAGTTGACTGTCAAATAAATGTAAATGTCGCTTGCAGTCTACAAAGCAGTTTTCCATGGATCTGCAACCATTTCATTGGTTTTGGTGCACCATCAGTGAATTGGCTGATTTGATACCTGCCGCCCAAATCTGTGAAATCTTTGAAAGTTGGAAGACAGCACATTTCTTTTGGAAAGGCAGTTTAATAGTTTAATACTGTTTGTCAACAGACACAAGCTCGAATGTTGCTGCTTTCAGTGGTCGTTGTCGGATGGAGGTTAGGGGTGTGGGGGTGTATGAATATGAGTCTTAGCACATGCGTCTGGAGGGTGGTGGCATGCGAAAGAGGGTCTGTTAGAGGCTGTTCAGCATAAATCACATCGTCATTCCTGTGACTCTGCTTTGACCTGCATGTCCCTGGTTGCGCAGCAGGGTGGGGGGACGGCAGCGGTGACCATGCCGGTGGTGTGCAGCTGCTGTGCACAGGCTCGCGCCATGCTGAAGCGGCCAAAGACGGGTCACTCGCTCTGCAGGGAGTGCTTCTTCTGGGCATTCGAGGAAGAGGTGCATGAGACCATCGTGTCGGCGAGCCTGTTCACACGCGGTGAGACGGTGGCCATCGGGGCCTCAGGCGGCAAAGACTCCACCGTGCTGGCGCATGTCCTGAAAGTGCTCAATGATCGCCACCACTATGGTCTGAAGCTGCTTCTGCTGTCAGTGGATGAGGGCATCACTGGCTATCGCGACGACTCCCTGGAGACGGTGCGGAGGAACCAGAGGCAGTATGAGCTGCCACTGAAGATCGTGTCCTATGAGGAACTGTATGGCTGGACCATGGATGCCATCGTCAAGCAGGTGGGCCTGAAGAACAACTGCACCTTCTGCGGGGTGTTTCGCCGCCAGGCCCTGGATCGTGGCGCCATGATGCTGAAGGTGGACAAGATCTGCACAGGTAAGCTTCTCTGCCCATCGGGTGGTTCTTGTTATAGGAGTATTGTGAGTAAAATGTTGGTCTAAAACCCTTCGGAAATTGTCTTTTAGTCAATAATATCTGGCATATTATTGAGCCAAAAGTCATACTAGACGACATTCGGCTAGAACCTGCTCAGTTGACCTTGCCCAATTCCACTCCCACTAGGTCATAATGCAGACGACATCGCTGAGACCGTGTTGATGAACGTTTTGCGGGGCGACATTGCAAGACTACGCCGTTGCACAGCAATCTGTACATCGGGTGAGGGTGAGGGTGCCGTGCCTCGCTGCAAGCCCCTCAAGTATGCCTACGAGAAGGAGATTGTGCTCTACGCCTATTTCAAGAGACTGGACTACTTCTCCACGGAGTGCATCTACTCCCCGAACGCGTACCGGGGCCACGCCCGCGCCTTTCTCAAGGACCTGGAGGCTGTGCGGCCTAGCGCCATAATGGATGTCATCCACTCAGGGGAGAACCTGTCTGTGCGCGAGGGTGTGCGCATGCCGGTGCAGGGGACCTGCAACCGCTGCGGCTACATTTCCAGCCAGGCGCTCTGCAAGTCCTGCATGCTGCTGGAGGGCCTGAACCGTGGCCTTCCGCGCCTGGGCATTGGAAAACACCACCGTCTTCACGGCAAGATCCTAGCCCAGCAGCCACTCACCCTGGATGAGGAGCGCAAGCTCAAGGCGGTGGATTTCTGATTGGTTGCTGCTGGTGTATCTAAAGAACTGCCCCCCCAGCATCTTTCTGACTGGCTGCAGTCATGTTACTTTTAGTTTAAGGGCTTTAATGTGAATACTGAGGTCTCTGGCTGGGATGGAAATAATACCTGAAAAATTACCTAAAATCATAAACAAAGGAATAATGCGGTTCACATTTGGACAGTGAAACATTAAATATTCAGCATTTTAACAAAATTTTTTACAAATTATTTTAAATAGCATGTCTCACAGACAGCGTGGTCCTTCTGTTATTAGGATTTTGACAGTTAATTTTGTTATTGCAAATAATTTTCAAAGTGCTTTGAATGTCCACTGAATTTTTAACAGAGCATCTATGGTTGGGACAAATTTCTCTGACACAGCCTGATCCTGGTGTGCCTGCATGGGTAAAAGCTGTCGGTGCAGAATGTACACACGTTAATAAAGTGTCGTTTGTTTTTAAAGGAAGGTGTAGTTATTTTTTTTTATATATTTTGTTCTTGTGGCAGGACAAGTATGGAAGCAGCTTCCACCTCATTATTAATAGCCTTTCATGTTGTTTGAATTTCCTTCATGACAAAGTGGCAAGCTCAATTTGTGTTCAGCACCTGGCTTTCAGGTAGCCAGCATCGCCTTGGGTGGGTCTGCAACATCTATCTTCCTGTGGTGGGGGTAGTCGTGCCATGAATATCCTGCCACCCACGCACTGCGGTTCCAGGGCTCTTGGTCCGAGGGGCCGCCCTGGGTCACTGCCTCCTGACACGCTTTTTTCACCAGCCCTGTTAGCAAAGGCTCGGCTTACAGCAGTTTGTAACTAAACCCAGGAGCCTCACTGTCTAACCACTGCTCATACCCCCCCCCCCATATTCCTCATGCCATGACTGAACGGTACAGTTTTTGAGCAGTGGGTCTTTTTAAAAATATATAAGATGTCAGCAATCTGTCCAAACACATTTCCATGTTTCTTAACTGGCAAACCAGGACAATGGACCCACATTTAAGATGAATCGTTTTATTTGTCGGATCAAAAACGCTCCCGGTAGTCCCACTAGAGGTCATCATTCACCAACCCCGCGCTGGGAGTTCAGCCGGGGGCGCGCCGCGGGATCGCGCGCGCGCACACGGGACTTGTATGAAACTTCTACGTTGCCCTAGGCGAAGATCATAAGGGTTTGATAGCACTGGGTTTACGTGGAGGCAAAGGATAGAGAGGCAGCAGCGAGCAGCACCGCCGGCCCGGTTCCTTTTACCGAACTACAATGGATGATCTCGGTAAGACTGCATGCCGCGGGGGCTCTTCTTTTAAAATGTCCTTTGGATGGTTGGATAGCGGAAAATAAGAGGGGGTGTGGATCTGCGAATAATATGAGTTCAACTCCCAGTCACATTATTTTTATTCCGATAAATAAGCATAAGCAGGGATGCTTGTGCAGTATTAGTTTAGGAACGCGATGGAGATGCGGGTGAGCAGTTAACCCAGCCGGGCTGGTTGGACCGCGCTTCGCAAGTTTAGCAGGAATCCCACATTTCTGCACAACTGCTGACTGCGGGTTTCTGGCTGATCGGGGGCTACAGTCCGCCCTCCCCGATCCGACCCACCCGATCGTGTTCCCGCCGGTTCTGCCGGACCGGGGCACGGCCAGCGTCGTGGCCGGACGTGGGCGCGCTCCCTTCGGCACCGCTGCCTTGTTTTGTCGGACTGTGGCCGGTCCCAAAAATGCAGAATGTGCCACAGAGATGTGTGGGAAGGGGGGATGCACCGTACAGCTCACTAGCCTAACTTATACAAAGTAAGTTACCCGGACAGTCCACATCCCGTTTCTAATTATGTCCCCGAACCGGCGAGCCTCGGACGCTTCTTAGCGGCCGTAATGGGAGGCGGACCCATGCGGCGTTTCACCATAAAAACGGCGCCCCCTTAGCGCGATGCGCTGCCCCGAGCTCGTCCTCATGCTCTTCATCGCCGTGGGAATAAATGCCCTGTTGATTAAACATTTTTACGTTGCATGGCTGTTGATTAAACGTCTCAGGGGTTTCTTACCGCGTTAACCCCTAAACCACAGTATTTTAGGCTGGCGACGTCCCACACCCTAACTGCGACAACGCATTAGGATAATATATGAATATTGAAATACTAATTATTCAAAATATATGTTCACTGATGTTTCTGCAAGTATGAAATCGACTGGATTTGCTGGAACTAAAAATTAATAATACTCTTTTTTTGTCCAGAGGTTTTTTTCCTTTAAGATTAAGATCACTGAGATCACCGAAACGATTATAGGAGGTTTGTGTGTGCGAGTGTGTACGAGTATGTGTTCGTGCCTTATACATTTCTTTTCAAATACATTCAGGCAAAGACAAACTTAGTCTTTTTGTTGTATGTCTGTAATTTAAAAGGGGCATTAATTGCCCTGTTTTACTTGCTAGTTCTCTCTATCGTAAAAAGTGCATGATCCAGTTGTGTAAGTCTGTAGCACAGAGACACACGCGCACACACGCAGACACACACGCACACACTGCTTTGGGATCCTTCTCTCCTTTGCTGTATTAGTACTCGGAGCAGCATAATAGCTGCTTATCCTCAGTGTGCTCTTAGCCTTTCTGTTAGATGAGTTCCAGATCGATTGTGAAGCTGCTGGGCTTGGAGAGAGGAAGGTGTACATTTCATATGTGCACAGCGGCCCCTTTCAATGGTGACACCCACAGACCTTGCATTTGAACACATGTCATCTAGGATTAGTGTCTTAACCTGGCCTGTTTGTGGTCACTTTGACTGGTAAAAACCTCCAGAATTGTGCCCTTTTGGTGTAAATGCACCTCTAGTCTGTGTACCGGCTGCAGTCCTTCAGTTGATCTGCACGCTTGGCCTCTCTGAGTTGTCGTCTTAATGGTGATGTTACTGGTCTTCTTAAAGGAAGCCCTACTGGGTTTTTGCAGACTCCTCTGAGAACTAGCCTGTGATGAGCTCCTCCCTCTTGTCGTGCTGCTGGTTCTGCCACGAGCTCCGTCAGACCAGGATGGCCTGGGCGGAAACACTAATGCAGGTCCACTGAAGTGAGAGGCTGCATTCCTGGTTCTGGTGAGGTTAAAGCCCACACAGGTGACCGACCCACCTGGGAAACGTTGGTGGCGTTAAGCCGCACCTGCGGGCAGCAGCTGTCTGTCACGTCGTCCTGTGAAGCTCATGTGGGAGCAGATCCCTGCTGCTGGCCATATTGTCCCCCTCGCTCTGCACTGCTCCCATGCAGTGACCTGTCTAGCGCCCCCCACAGGTGAACGTCCTGCCCGAGGTGTTCATGCAAGGCCTCATAAGCATTCTGCCCTCCCAGTCATTTTAGTCGGAGAGTCTCCTTGGTACTGTGACCCCTGGAGCGGACTGACTCCAGCTGACCAGTCTGCCTCGGCCCTAGATGCTCGTTCCTCGTGCAGCAAGAGAAAAAAAAGTGCTGCTTTCTGTGAGACATCACGGGTCGCTTGTCATTAATGTAGCGGAGCTGCGCTGTGTCTGTGTCCAGACTGGGAAAATTTTTGCCGGTGTCTTTCCTAGACGGAGGACTTGGTGGTGTGACTGTAGGTTTGTAGTGGTCTGCTTAGGGCTGAATATTTAGTATCTTTACACCAGAGGAAGTGACTTTGATACAGAAGCAGTGAAGGAGGGCGAGTCCCGAGCAGAGCAGGCTGCAGCCACAACCTTGTGGTTTAGGTACCTGGTGGAACAGAAGTGTTTATGAGTTATTGAATGACTCATGAATGAGTTATTTTGGGGGAAGAGCAGGGAACTAATAAAAAGTGGACCAGAATGGGTGGGAAGCTGGAAATTAATTTTAAAAACTCAGTTTCCAACTTGACACTTTCTGACTTGTTTACTACCTGGTTTACATATGCCCAGTAGCTGTTTTAAAAGGTAAGGCATCTTGGGTAAATACAATACTGCTCTTTAAATAACCGTTCTCCAGTGGTAAAAAACAAGCTCATGAAATTTCATATGCCCGCTATACTTAAAGCTATTTCTTACCTATAAAATTGTCAGTGTCTTTCCTCTAATTTATAAAATCCATTCTGGGAAGCTGGTATCAAGCTTCACTGGGTTATATTTAGGTTGAGCCTGAGGTTGGCTGGTCGCTAAAATGATTGCGAGGGCTCTGGTGTCTCAGCCACCCGACTCTCCCTGTCACTGACCAGAAGCCTGAGCCCCGTTTCCATTGAAAAAGAGACGATGTTTTCATTCATAACGATGGCCGTTCTGCTTTTCCTGGGGGAGCCGCATTCTGCTTTTAATTTGTCGTTGCATGAACGGTGGATCTGGCTATACCCCATGCTGCGCCTCCCATGCTGCGCCTCCCATGCGGCGCCTCCCATGCGGCGCCTCCCATGCGGCGCCTCCCATGAGGCGCCTCCCATGCGGCGCCCTTGTCCCGCACAGGCCCTCCGTATGCGGCTCCAGTCCAAAAGTGTGTAGATTGACCACATGCCCATTGTCTGCCCAGAATGCGAAGCATAAGAAAACCATTCAGCGCGTCTGGCCGACCGGGCGGTTTGAACCCGTCGCTGGTGACAAGCTTCTGAAATGTGAAGGTGTGGTTTTGCAGTGGAGGGGTAGATGAAGCTGAAGAGTTCTGCACCCTGACCAGCACCCCCTGGTTACTCGTTTCCAGAACACTGACAGGACCCATGATGTCCAGCAGGTGGCAGAGTGGTTAAGGGTCTGGCACTGCCTGCCTTCCCTCTCTTACCGTCCCCAGCAGCTCTTTGCTCTGCCCCTGCCTTGCTGCTTTTAAATGTTTAATTTGAAATTTTCATGCCGTGGATGCAAATTGTATTTTTTAGGGGCAGCACTGCTGCTTTACTTCGGGAATTTGTTCCCCTGAGTGCCTGTAAGTGTCCGCTAGTGTGGCTGCTGATGTGGGTAGTGGCTGCTTTCCTGTTCAGTGCAGAAGCTTGTGTCTTTATTCTTCATTTCCTGTTCTTCATGAGCAGCATAAAAACGTTTCGCCTTGTTCATTAGGCAGCAGAAGGTAACCCTTGACCCCTAAGCTGCACAATTTCCTTGTAGTCTTGAGTAAAGTGAAATTTTCAGTGGACCTCATGATCCCCGGGTTAACCATGTTGTCATTGTACCAGAGAAAAGGTGTCCTAGTGAGTTCAGGTCTCTTCAAATGCTGATGTCCTGGGGGGGTATGAGGGGGCATGAGGGTAACAGAGATGGCGCGGGGGCGCGGAAACAGCCTTCAGTAAATGAGTCATCTTGGAATCCCCCTCCAGAAAAAACAGGAAAATGGCCCCTAGGGCTGTGAGAGGGCGTTTCTCAGCTCTGCGTCCTAGGAAAACGGTGGAGGAATCGGCCCTTGGAAATTCAGCAGTGAATGTATAGAAGATCCACAGCATGCAATTTATAATCAATTTGTTTACACGTCTTCTAAGGCTATGTGCCGTTGTTAGGCGTTACGTTAGATGAAAAACAGGAA